ACATTTGAGTATAAATATATATCTATTTGTATAAAATTGAATATATAATTAAAATTCGATTCATTTATACTCTAAATTTAAAGATTCTAATTAACTTCTGTATCTTAAATAACTAAAATTTATAAATTAAAGGATCAAATGTTAATATTTTTTATTCCCATAGCTAACACCTTTTATTCTAATTCATAATCTTCGTGTAAAGAAACAAAAAAAAAGACATCTGAATTAGATGCCTAATGTAGGCTGATGATCGGTGGATATTCCTTTTGGTGTACTAATTTAGTGGCTGAATGAGAAAAATCTTGTCCTTGCCACAGTAACCTCACCGGCCTTTTCGAAAAATATATATACACTATATATATATATATATATATAATACTTTACTTTTTGTCAATGCATGAAAAGAAAAAACCCAAGTAATTCCTACTTTTCCAGGAGGAAAACCCCCAGCTGCCACCCGTATATTGCTTTACATCGTAAAAGGTGCATCACAGGTTGATTAAGAAGGTATATGTGTGTGTATATATATACACACACAGAATATATATAGCTAATCTAATATTTATAGTTGATACCATATTAATCAAGAAGGTTATTAAACTAATAATTAGTATGAGCATATTCTTCTTCCATAGCTTAGCACTGTTGGTGGCTGAAAAACAAATTAAGAAACCGCAGGCTGGATAGAGAGAGAGAGAGAGAGAGAGAGAGAGAGAGAGAGAGAGAGAGAGAGAGAGAGAGAGAGAGATACACGTATATATAATACACACATATATAAGCATATATGTCACGATTATATTCTTCTTTTCATATCTTTTAAGATTTAATTCAAATCATAAATATGTGCATGGAGTAGTTTTATCCCTGCTTATGATTTGATACTGTTATTTTATATAAACTTATAACTAAATCTAAAATGGGATAATATATAAAAATGAGAGACAAGACCAGAGCAAAACTCTTGGTTCTTCGTTTGTTGGTATAAAATATTAATTCAGGAAACTAATAATTAAAATGTAGAGAGAATAAAATGTTGCTCGTTGGATTTCTTTTTTTTTTATAGAAAAAGTGAGAATTCATTTAACTTGATAGGTGAAAAATATCTTGAAGATAAAAGAGGAACCAAGAAAGCAAGAAGTTTCGAAATATAATATTTTCCATTCGGGTTACAAAGAATTCGTTTTGTCAATACATGAGTTCCCTTACTAGAATTCCGAAAAATTTAAAAAAATAAATAAAATTATAAATAAATAAATTTAGTTCGAAGTTTAACAGTAACTGTAACATAATAATTACTTTTCGAGAATCTCATTTAACCATCAAATGTAAAATTTCAAGTTAACAGTAATTTATAAATAAAAAAATAAAGCTTATATTTCAACTATCTCTACAGAAATTGGCATCGGGACACACTACATGGCCATAAGCACTATTCTATCCGATGAGTTATGCCAAACTTAGACCAGAACGCTCTATTCGTTCAATCTAATAGACATCACAATTAATTTTAAGCATACATT